GATGGGATAAATGCAGAGCACTAATTCCGAGTATGGGTCACCATACTTGGCCACATGTCACGTCACTCACTTAAAAATTGTCTTTGATCTTTCAAGCTGTTTAATGCCACTCAGCGGGTGTTGCATTGCTTCAGTCCAAAAGAACTTAAATAAAAATCGCCCATCCATAAAAAAAAGTGTGTGTGGGGGGGGAACAAAGGCCTCCTGTAGCGAATCGATGCGTTTTTGTAAGAAAAATATCCATATTCATAACGTAATAATCACTTGAATCTAGCTTGCGCTCACTGTTGTAAACAGAAGCAGTTCCGGGGGAATGACGTATGAGTTCAGCGTTGCGCATGTGCCGCTCAGAATTGACGCACGCGGAGAGATCGAAACAAAACAACGGTCACTAATTAGAAGTACAAAACGAGGATTTGTAAAGAAGAATGTCGGAGGATTTCAATATAAGCCAAGAGGAGACTGGTTTTCCTTTGCTAAAGTAAGGAAACTTTTCTTCCTTTGCTCCTGTAAACAAATGTTGGTTTTCATGAGACTCACCGGCGCATGCGCAACGCTGAACTCATACGACATCCGCCCGGAGCTGCTTCTGTGTACAACTGCTGGCGCAAGCTACATTAAAATGATTATTACGTTTTGAATATGGATATTTTTCTTACAAAAACGCATCGATTCGCTACAGAAGGCCTTTTTTCACCCCCCGGAGCCTTGTGAGACACTTTTTTTTATGGATGGGCAATTTTTATTTAAGTTCTTTTGGACTGATGCATGCAACACCCGCTGAGTGCCATTAAACAGCTTGAAAGATCAAAGACCATTTTTAATATAACTCCGATTGGATTCGTCTGAAAGAAGAAAGTCATATACACCTAGGATGCCTTGGGGATGAGTAAAACGCAGGCTATTTTCATTTTTGGGTGAATTAACCCTTTAAGACTTTTTAAAGCCTTAATTTGTGAAAGAGTGAATTAAGACTTTTTAAGACCTGCCGAAACCCTGTATAACCTCAGAAATTTTAAACCCTCCGAAATTTGTAAACCAATTTTGTGTAAATATATTGTTTCGGCTGTCAAATAAGGTTGTATTCCATCTAATTAGAAATGGAAGGTCATGGAATTGAAGCGTGGTGCATTGTGGGATATTGTTTTCCAGATAGTGTAAGGCTGACACAAAGCTCTCTTTTTCCAAACCCTGAGCTTTAAGACTACCTTCCTGTTTCTGTATATCCTCTTCCGTCATTGGACATTCTTTGATGGACAGGTTGTTAAGCAGTGTTTTGTTTTCCTCCTGCAGCTGTGCGATCTGGGACAGCAGATCCTGGGCTTCTCCTCTCCACACATCCTCCACAAGCTCCAGCTCCTGTTCACAACCACACACACATCTCAGAAGCAGCTCATAAAATATACACGAGCGTATATTTAACCGCTGACCTTCACTGGAGTTACGTAATGTCTGAAACAATCAGCAAAAAACACACAAAGCAGGAGCATAATAACATCTTCACAGAAGGACACAGACAAAAGCTGCATTCATAACTCTGCTTATATTCACATACTCATGTTTTTACTCTATTCTTACATTTGTGTGAGATTCTCATGTGCTACAATACCTATGGTAAAACCACGGTATTCTTCTTCATCTTGAAGTAGCATGTAAATAAACATATAGTATAAGAATATTGCAATCCTTCAGTAAACATCAAGTTACCATAGTATTAGCACAGTAGAATCTGACCCCACACTGTATTATAGTACTACCTTAGTACATTTACATCAGCCTCATAAGATTAGGATTTGTTGCATATTTGCTCACTGTCCCAGTGGACATGATGTTACGTGATGATGATGGACTGTGGTTAAGATTACATCATTTCCTGTACCAGACAGGAACTTAGAAATTCCCATGCATGCACTGCTTTGTTCTGAAACACCACTGGCAAACAACTTAAGCAAAGAAAAACAATGTATATACATTCATATGTACTAAAAGTAGTAGAAAAAAGCAGTATACATTCAGCAAGGATCTGTTAAACTGATAAGAAGTGACAGTAAAGACTTATATTGTTAGAAAAGGTTTCTATTTTTAATAAAATCATGAAAAAAGTATCACAGGTTCAAAAAATAATAATATTAAGCAGCAAAAAGTGTTTCCAACATTGATAATAAATCAGCATATAAGAATGATCTCTGAAGGATCATGTGACACTGAAGATTGTAGTAATGGCTGATGAAAATTCAGCTTTGCATCACAAATTAGATTTTAAAGTAAATTAATACAGAAAACAGTTATTTGAAATTGTAATCATATTTCACAATATTACTGTTTTTACTGTATTTTTGATTAAATAAAAGATGAGCATAAGAAACGCCTTTAAAAAACAGCCCAAACTTTTGGACATCAATGTATATACACTTTATATTAGGGCAGTCAAGCTATAATTTTTTAATCTAATTAATCACATATATAATTAAAATAACATTCAATAATAATTCAAATTAATATATCATAGATTATATATATATATGCAATTATGCACTTTAATATATTTATTATTTAATACATTTATAGTTTTATATATAAAATAATATCTAAATGATAGATATAGATAGATAGTAATTTAATTGAACACGAATACAAAACAAAATATTAATTAATTAACATGTATACTTGTATATGTAAAATACTAACATAGTTGTACATATACAGTACGTTGTGACGTCACAGAAAAGTGGCGCACACTAGACTAGTCACCGGTCTGTTTAATTCTGTGTAATTCTAGTGTCAATAAAACAGAGTTAAATGAACGAGCTGGTTATTTAGAGGTAAATAGATATTGTAGTCTGTGAATGTACCTTCTTATGTTTCCTCTCCTTCTCCAGCCGGTCCATCCGCTCCAGCCGCAGCCGGTCCAGCTCCAGGCGCAGCTCCTCGGTCTCTGGACTGATGCTGTTGCGGCTCACCAGGACCTCCAGGATCTCCAGCACACGGACCACTTTGGGCATGAGGCGGGACAGAGCCTCGCATCCGTACTGATCGATAATGCGCTCGAACTCCTGGCCCACGACCGCGGCGATATCGTAGACGTCCATCACGGTCAGATCCGCCACGTTCTTCTCCAGCGCCGAACCGAAATCCTCCATGACCGTCTCTGAAGTTCGTTTCCTTCTCAACTTTCTCAGTCCCTTTCAGTAGCCAAACAGATCCCCAAAGCCCTCTACAAACCTTCTAACGACACCCCGTCACGGATAAAGGCCATTTCGGGGTATTTTTAGGCAGAATTGGACCGAAATAAGAGTTGTCCCATTGCGGTTCGGTTTCCCTGCCCTTATTTATTCCTCAGAGCGGCGCGTTACGTACCGCGCATGCGCACAGCAGCGGCAGACGAGGGCGCTGCGCAATCACTGTCAAGCGCCACACTGACCTACAATACTGGTCACAAACACTGCTTACCATAGTTATTAGCTAGTTTAACTCGCTGTGGCTATAAAACGGTGGACACAGGTAAATCCGTGAATGGATTTTCATTGCCTTTGTTAGATCAAAGTATGAACGGGTAGTTGACAGAACATGTCAAGCAGTGACTGACACGCAATACTTAGTTATGATCAGAGTTGGGGAGTAACTAGTTAGTTACAACGAAATTACGTAATTTAATTACAAAATAAATTTAACTGTGTTAAAAATGTGCAATTAAATTACAGTTACTTATGAAAATGTTAATGATTACAAAGTGGGTTACATGATCTGAATATTTTCACACACACACACACAGGTTTGTTTTTATGGTTTATGGGGACTCTCCATAGGCGTAATGGTTTTTATACTGTACAAACCGTATTTTCTATTGCCCTACACCAACCCTACCCCTAAACCTACCCCTCACAGGAAACTTTCTGCATTTTTAGATTTTCAAAAAAACTCATTCTGAATTAATTATAAGCCTTTTGAATTAAGGGGACACTGAAAATATCCTCAAAATCACCTTCTCGTTGTAATACCTATGTCATACCCATGTTATTATACAAATTTGTGTCCTCGTAAACCACATAAACATGCACACACACACACACACACACACACACACACAGATTGAATTGATTTCTTTCCCAAATTGCAATGACTGCTTTAAAATATGAGACACCAATGTTTCAGGAGTTTAGGACACAGATTAGGACACGCTTATTCGATAACGGTTTTTTATTTCCTGTTTGGGTTTATGTTTTATTTAAGATTAACTGTTTTTTCAAAAGCGTTGTTAGTAGTAGTATATTTAGTAGTAATATATTTATTTAATGCCATGTCTGCATCTTAGGCTATTTTCATGGCAAAAATTATTTAAAAAATACAAGTATAACAAATGCAATAAAAAACAGCAAACAAACACAAGTTATATTACACAATATTTTTTACATTCAAAAGCAGTTAGATGCCAGTGTTTCCTGTCATAGCTGTGCAAAGAACAGTATCAGAAAAAAAAAACAGTATCATAGCTATTAAACTACATATTGTTATGATTTTAAATCTGTATTTAACCTCAGGATGATCTCTGAAGTCTGCTAAAGTCTGATTTGTGGTGGATGCACTTTAAAATTAAATTACTTTAATCTTAATTCAATCGATGAAGGATTTTGAGAAGTCTGTCAGTAATGAGTGTTATAACCCCGCCTGCTTTAAATGTTTGAAAATGATTAACAGTTGAAAACATTCATTAGAAATTTAGAAAAGTAATCAAATGTAATCAGTTACATTAATAATAGAAATAGTTACACTACTTATTACATTTTAAATAGGGCAACTTGTAATCTGTAACCTATTACATTTCCAAAGTAACCTTCCCAACACTTCTTATAATCGTGTATGATTACGTATGCGTGCAGTTTTTGATAAACATATTCAATTGGAGATTTCATGGATAGTTTTTGAATGGATTTCTAACGTTTTTAATTTGTTGTTGCATCTGTAAATGCAGGTGTTAAAAAAAACAACACATGCATAACTTACCCAACATAATTAATCATTTTTATTTACTTCAGTTTGCATTTACAACTTCAAGTTCATTTACTTTAAAAGGTGTTAAAAGATCCCAAATTAACTACCAGCCATCAATTGATGGTGCTGATTTAAAAAAAAAAAAAAGGTAAAGTCTTCAACCTGGTACTTATTAAAATTACAAAAATTGCATGATAAAATATTTCACTGTAGCAATTCACTAAATTATATTATAAATTAAAAGCATAATTTCCAATATTTAATTCACACCATACTGTATTGTCAAAGCATGAAGGATGATATACAGTAGAGACTCATGATAAAACTATGAAAATAATATACATTATGATGGTTTCTTCTTTATACATCCAGGGCCCAGACTCCTTTCACCTAAACTGTGTGAGATAAACAAAGAAAAACAACTTAACATCTAAATTTCATTATAAAGGCAATATTTTCACTGGAAATACAGTTAAATTGGTCCAAAGCGAACAGTGTCTGTGAATACTTACTGCATTCTTGAGGAGACTGCCTGATTTATGAAAGATTGAGGTTCGTTTAGAGCTGGTTTTGGCGGGTTCGGGTGCGAGGGGCTCCGGTCTGGGCGGGTCCAGTCGAAGTGGTTCGAATCTGGGTGGGTCCAGTGTGAACGCATCCAGACTGGGCAGTTCCATATTGGGCGGGTCAGGAAAAACAGTAGGCAGTGAACTGTCAAAACTATTGACTGTATTCCCTGGAGGCGAGTCCATCGGGATCCCTCCCATCTCATAGTGCTTCCTCCTGAGTTCTCCCAATCGTATACGCTCGTTGACCAGCTGCTTCTCCAACTCTAATACTTTCACCTATAAACAAATATGAGTTTACATGTATGCATTAAAAGTCTGATTAATCCTTTGGGATTTTATTGGATGATGTAAGGGTGTTTTAATACCTAAAACTGTACTATTTGTCATTTTGGCAAATTTACCTGAGAATCCATTTCTTCTGTTTTGAGTTTTATAACAGACATGCCGGAAAAGTCCATGGAGTCTATGGAAAAAAGAAACAAGAGGACACACAGAAATTTAGCATCACATCACTCACCAACGGATCCTCTGCAGTGAATGGGTGCCGTCAAAATTAGAGTCCGAACAGCTGATAAAAACATCACAATAATCCACAAGTAATCCACACCACTCCAGTCCATCAGTTAATGTCTTGTGAAGCGAAAAGCTGCATGTTTGTAACAAACAAATCCATTATTAAGACATTTTAACTTAAAACTGTCACTTCTGGCTAAAATACAAGTCCATAATCCATAATAATGCTTCCTTCTGTGAAGTTAATCCCCTATTGTCCTCTCACATCAAAATCCACCAACATATTTGTTTAGAACTGTTTTTGCTTGTAAACGGTGCTTTATATGTGTATATTTCTCTTCTGACTCAGACGATGACTTTTTCACTGGAGAAGGCAATATTATGGATAGAGGACTCATATTTTAGACAGAAACAATGGTTTAATCATGTTAAAATGCCTTGATGTACTTTGTTCTTACAAACACACACCTTTTTATTTTACAAGACGTTAACTGAAGGACTAGAATCATGTGGATTATTTGTGAATTATTGTGATGTTTTTATCAGCTGTTTGGACTCTCATTCTGACGGCACCCATTCACTGCAAAGGATCAACTGGTGAGCAAGTGACCTAATGCTACATTTCTCAAAATGTGTTTCCATGAAGAAACAAACTCATCTAAATCTTGGATGGTCCGAGTGTGAGTACATTTTCAGCTAGTTTTAATTTTTGGTTGAACTATTCCTTTAATGTGCATTCCAGCATTGTTGGTGGTAACAAACTTCACTATTTGCATGGAGTATGTTTCATGCTTTTTGCATGTGTCCATGACACTCACTCTTGTTCTCAATCTGCATTTGTCCTGATTTAGTAGACGACACCACAACAGCGGCCATGTCATTCACGTAACGGGATGCTTGCTGTAAAGTTTGGAGCTTCTTGTTGCCTCGATCTGCCTTTACCTGTTAAATGAAGGATTGATGTGTCAGAATCATCAGATTTGATTGGATTAAACACACACTTATATTGGTCTCATGAATTTTACCTTTGAAGCAGCAACAAGTTGTGCCGTACTGGCGGCGATCTCATGAGAGCAGACAATCAGCTCTTCATATTTGCCTTTGTCAGTCACAACTTTATCAGCTGATTCACTTTGTGAGATAATAAATCACAGTTACAGGGATTGACGCTAATAAATCCAGGTTAAAGCTTGAAATATTCTACACACTCACAGCATCTGCGTTGCACCCCATCCTACAGCCTTTGACGCTGAAATGAGTCCCTCCGTCCAACGTGAATTTTTAGCATAGAAGTCTTTGACAGAACCAGCACCCTAAGATGGAATAGGGCAATAAGGTGATTGAGTGTGTGAGTATGCATGAGTTATGAAAATTATCTAAAATTGTCCAAATCATACCCGGCCACTTTCCACAATGTCTCTCTGCAGGTCAGTAGCAGCCATCACCAGCATGTGTATAGCCTATGGACAAAAGTGATGCAAAATTACTTGAAAAATCTTGATATACATTACCAATTTAAAAAGTTTAAGGTCAGTATTTTTGATGTTTAGAAAAAAGTAACTTAGGCTGCATTTATTTCATTACAAATACAGTACAAACAGAGATATTTTGAAATATTAATACCATTTAAAATAACTGTTTTCTATGTGAATATATGTTAAAATGTTATTTATTGCAGTGATATAAAGCTGAATTTTCAGCATGCTGTGGAACCCATGATACTTTTTTTCAGGATTCAGGATTAAAAGAAAATTCAAAAGAACAGCATTTATTTTAAATCTTTAAAATAAATCAGGACTGTTTTTTTAGTCCCGCAAGGTTCTAATGCGCACCCACCCGCTCCTGCTATATATTCACTCTTTGTTCACCCGCTGTGCGCTTAGAATAATTTTTTTCCCGACCCGACCGTTCCCGCTAAATTTAGATCTCGTTTCCAGAATCTCACATTTAAATTTCCGCTACTGAAAGAAAGAGAGATAGGCTGACAAATAAAAGTGTAGTCTGCACAAAATTGTATGTTATTTTATTTGTCTTGTCAAGAGTCTTGAATTTATTGACTTTGACTTGAATTTATAGGAATTATCTTGAGACACAAAATTCGTTTAATATTTTATGCAACACAGTAGGAAAAAAGTGTCAGAGAAAATAAAATTGTAGAAAAATTGTATTTCTTATTTTTATTCGTCTTGTCAGGATACAATTCGTTTAACATTGACAACACAATAGGGAAAAAGTGTCGCAGAGAGGAAAATAAAAATAAAAATGTAGGTTGTACAAAAATAACCTATTAGCTATTTTTATTCGTCTTGTCAAAATACTAAATTCGTTTGACATTTTTGCAGAGAAAAATAAATAAATACAACATCTTTTATTTAAAATTATAGGCTAAGCAAAATATAAACAAAGCCGAGTTGAACGTCCTTCAAGGACAGCGCATCCACACTTTGCTCCATCCTTATTCTGCTCTGTCACTCATTGACAACCTGCCTGTTCTGTCTGAGGGCCGTATACTTACCACAGGTACAGCTCTGAGCATCGTTATGCACATTCTGCGCACAGACCACGCAAATAAAACGTGTGACGTTTAAAGCATGCATGCAGCGCGTGCATAACAGTCCTGAGCGCAAGCTGTACCGGTGGTCAATAGGAATAAAGCGCAGATATGCTGTTCTAAATGGACGTCGGGAACGGGATATTGTTAGACCACCTGCTCCCGTTCAAATTACACCAGAGTTACCGACCGATACCGCATTTTATTTGGGAATTTAATCCCGCGGCACAAAAAACCCGGTCGGGTTGCAGACCTCTACATTATACGTGTTTTTACTGTCAGTTTTGATCAATTTCATGCATTTTAAATGGTAATGTATTTAACAACATATTCATCTCTGTGAATCTAAACGTACCTTCATTAGATCTGAACACGAGCCAATGATGCTGTAATAGAACAAACAAACATTTAATTAGACAACACATAAACTACAAAACATAAACATAAAACTATATCCCAAACTAACTTTTGATTAACTTCCAGCTTCACTCCAGATGAATCTCTTCTTGCCTGGCTCAATATTTCCTGTATTACATAAGAAAAAACTCATGAAGTCATAGCAAATCCTGAGTTCAATCCAGCATCATTAAAAGGATACTCCACCCCAAAATGAAAATTTTGTCATTAATCACTTACCCCCATGTCGTTCCAAACCCATAAAAGCTTTGTTCGTCTTCGGAACACAATTTAAGATATTTTGGATGAAAACCGGGAGGCTTGTGACTGTCCCATTGACTGCCAAGTAAATTACACTGTCAAGGTCCAGAAAAGTATGAAAAGCATCGTCAGAATAGTCCATCTGCCATCAGTGGTTCAACCGTAATGTTATGAAGCGACGAGAATACTTTTTGTACACGAATATAGAGTACGCTGCTTGCGTTCAGTGGATATTCTCCAAAATGGCGCTACGGTGATGCGGAGAGACACAGAGGAGACGAATTGTTGAATAAAAATTTTTTTTTTTTCGCGTACAAAAAGTATTCTCGTCACTTCATAACATTACGGTTGAACCACTGATGGCAGATGGACTATTCTGACGATGCTTTTCATACTTTTCTGGACCTTGACAGTGTAATTTACTTGGCAGTCAATGGGACAGTCACAAGCCTCCCGGTTTTCATCCAAAATATCTTAAATTGTGTTCCGAAGACGAACAAAGCTTTTACGGGTTTGGAACGACATGGGGGTAAGTGATTAATGACAAAATTTTTATTTTGGGGTGGCGTATCCCTTTAACACAGTGTAACTTACATCCATTCTCAGCACAGCATCTTCAATGGCAGAGGAAGTCGCAGCCATTTCCTTATCCACCATTTCTGCCAGCTCTTCCTTCTGCACGTCTGCTCCCCTGGGCCGCAGGTCCTGCAGGAGACCAGGAGAGAGGTCACTTATTATGTCACGCAAACACAGATTAAGTCTGAAGATGCTATCTCTGGTCCACCGCACCTGTCCTTGGTTGAGGAAACGCTGGACCACATAGCGGACAGCAGTAGGGTCAGCTCTCGGGAGCGTGGCCTTCAACTTCAGCTCTTTCAGATACTGGAGGCAGTGAGTGGCACAATCCCGGCAGTTATCTGTCAAACCTATGGAGAAATGGACCAAAAATCATCAGACTGCTGGGAAAAAAAACAGCTTTTACCAGTTTAAGGTGTTCAAGATGGTTTTAGGAGCATAGTAGATGATTTGCTGCTGGACTGAGATAGTAAAACAGCTCTAACTAGCTTGATCGATGTGCTCTACCAGGTTGCAACCAGGTCTACAGCTGATTAGCTATCTAAGGACTAAAGATGAGAAGTTTGGACCTACTAAATGCCATGCAAAACCATCTGGTATTAGCTGGATTTTCTAATGCAAATCATCAGTACAAAATACAACACTTGAATAACTTTAAAGACTGTGTTAATTTTCTAATGCAGTCATCTGTATATATTTTCTAATGCAAAACTTAAAATAGCTTCAAATATTGTGGTAATTTGCAACTTATTTTTTAAGAAATTATAAATTATACCTAGACCAGCTTGGAACGAGCAGCTTGAAGAAGCTATACCCATGTAAAACCATCTGGTGTTAGATGGATTTTCTAATGCAAATCATCAGTACAAATTTTGTAATACAAAATATTTGTAATAGAAAACTGGAATAACTTTAAAGACTGTGGTAATTTGCAACTTTTTTTAAAGTTAAAGTTATAAATTATATCTAGAGCAGTTTGGACCATCTAGGAACCATAACTTTGCAGCTTGGATCAGCTAAAAACTACACAAACCCATCTGGTATTATCTGGATTTTCTAATGCAAATCATTGGTAAATGTATTAATGTATTAATCAAAACCATGAATAACGTTAAATACTGTTCATTTGCAACTTTTTTAAAGAAATGATAAATTATACTTGTCTTGACCAGTTTGGACCATCTAAAGGCCAAAAATAAGTAGCTTGGACCATCTACAAACTATGCAAAACCATCTGGTATTAGCTGGATTTTCTAATGCAAATCATCAGTACAGATTTTGAAATACAAAACCTTGAATCACATTAAAGACTGTGGTAATGCAGCTTATTTTTAAGAAATTAAAAATTATATCTAGACCAGCAGCTAAACCAGCTTGGACCATCTAAAGGACAAAAATAAGCAGTTTGGACCATCTAAAAACCAAAACTGTGTCATATTAGCTGGATTTTCTGAAGCAAATCATCTGTGCAGATTTTATAATACAAAATCTTAAATCATTTTAAACACTGTGTTAATGCAACTTATTTTTAAAGAAATTATAAATGTTTTGTGTATGTTTTGTAATACTACAGAAAGTTTGATTTTTCTAATGCAAATCATCAGTACAGATTTTGAAATAAAAAAACCTTGAATCACATTAAAGACTGGTAATGCAGCTTATTTTTAAGAAATTAAAAATTATATCTAGACCAGCAGCTAAACCAGCTTGGACCATCTAAAGGACAAAAATAAGCAGTTTGGACCATCTAAAAACCAAAACTGTGTCATATTAGCTGGATTTTCTGAAGCAAATCATCTGTGCAGATTTTATAATACAAAATCTTAAATCATTTTAAACACTGTGTTAATGCAACTTATTTTTAAAGAAATTATAAATGTTTTGTGTATGTTTTGTAATACTACAGAAAGTTTGATTTTGAATGTCAGCAGCGCTATATGCATATGAAACGTGCATGTGCATGTGTGCATTTTTAATAATAAAAGAATAATTAGGACTCTCACGGTCTGCTTGGTCTGTAGGTGCTGAGTGTGCAGTTCCTGCTCCATTCACAATAGTGTCAGCGATGAGATGGGAGAACTGGGTCACCGACCTCAACAAACCACTGGCGTCTAGAAGAGGAGGAGGAAGAGATTGCATCACACTAACACCTGAACCTGTAGCTTACTGATGAGAATGACCGACATCTTACCATCCATATTCCTCAAGTAAGCCGCATGACTGTGCTGCATCTTATCAATGGACGCCAACGTCAACTCAGCACGATTGATCAAATAATCTGCAAGCAGAGATTAGGTATATGTAGAGTAAAAGAAGTGATGGGGATATTCAGAGGTATGAGGAGGAGGAGGGTGAGGAAGGACAGACCTGGGGTGCTGATGCAGCGCACGTGTAGTGGATCGTCCACTTTGGCCACAGCGTCCAGCACGATGCCCTCGGCCTCCACCACAGCGCACTGCAACATACTGAACTGCTCATCCTGCAGCTTCTGCTGCAACAGTCCTAAATCCTGACTTAACTGTACAGAAAAAACACACAGCAGAAGAACTAATTAAGACCCTCAATAGACACTACAGTAGCTAAACCTGGGCTACATCCCAATGTGCATTCTGTTCATCCTATACAAGATTAAACCGTCCCAAATCATAGTATGACTTTGAAAATATATCATATACTGTATTTCAACATTATATCAGCTATCAGTCAGCCCACTCTCTAAATATTGACATAAGTTATATTTATATATTATATTACACAAAAAAACTAACTCTCTAAAAACTGACATGACTAATATTATATTATGTTAATTTTAGCTATTATTGAATTGAGTCATACAGCATATTTCAGTATTGTATTAGCTATCAGTCAGTCCACTCTCTAAATATTGACAGAATATTTATATAACTAATATTCAGTGTTGGGAAGGTCACTTTGGAAATGTAATAGGTTACAGATTACAAGTTACCCTATTTAAAATGTAATAAGTAGTGTAACTATTTCAATTATTAATGTAACTGATTACATTTGATTACTTTTTGATTACATTTCTAAATTTCTAACAAATGTTTTCAAATGCTAATCATTTTCAAACATTTAAAGCAGTCAGGGTTAACCTTACAGTAGGACTCAACACTCATTACTGTCAGACTTTCTGTATCCTTCATCATTTGAATTAAGATTATAATTTATTTTTAAAGCACATCCACCACAAAATTTGACAGGAAACACAGGCATCTAACAGTTAATCTTAAAAAAGCATATACATAAACCCAAATAAGAAATAAAACAGTTATCATAGAAACGTGTCCTATTCTGTGTCCTAAACTCCTGAAACATCGGTGTCTCATATTTTAGAGCAGTCAATGCAATTTGGGAAAGAAATCAATTAATTCTGTAATCAATTAAATCTGTGTGTGTGTGTGAAAATATTCAGATGTAACCCCCTTTCTCATCTTTAACATTTTCATAAGTGACTGTAATTTAATTACACATTTTTCTCAGTAACTGTAACTGATTACAGTTACATTTATTTTGTAATTAAA